TTTCCTCATTGGTTATGTGTTCATGCGCAACAAGTGCACGACAAGCTATCGGTGGGTGTTGCAGAGATTAAGGGAGTTGATTGGGTATGATAAAGAACCATCGGTATTTTTGTCAGACCGTGAACTTGGCCTCTGTGCGGCATTGAGAGAAGTGTTTCCAGAGACGTCGCATTTACTTTGTCGATGGCACATTAACAAATATGTGGAGGCTAGGGTGACTAATATGTTCAAAAATAAGAAGATCGGTGCGAGTTTTAAAAATGGCAAATGGAAACGTATCATGGATGCTATGTAGCACCCTAGAAATTCCTTTTCTTTGAAATACTTGTTTTGCCCTTTTTGAAATACAAAATAGGAAAATCTAAGACATTACCGCCACCGTGAATACGGTTAAGGCAAATATCAAAGACACACAGCGGAAGACTACTTTTTAAAAACCATTTAAAACAAGTCAACTTTTAAAAAGTCAAACGAAATCAAACTAAGTCAAACAAAGTCAACCTACAACTTGGAACCATTGTAGGCCCTTAAAACCAAACCAATATTTAAAACCTTTCATGTTAGTCTCATTAACACAGTAAAAATAATAAATAATAACCAAACAATTAAACACATCACATTCCCATAGGAACTAAGCATGATTCGCTCTTCACTCATCCCCATCATGCAAATGCTTCATCACCTGAAAAGCTCCTCTCTACTTGTCCCCACTACTCGCCATTAGGAATGGGTTGTCGTAGGGCCAAGGTAAAGACAAGGCCAAACAAACATGCAAACACACAATCAGCAATGTTGAGTACATAAGCGTAATAAAACACACTAACATGCTTTCATCCTATCAACACACAACTTACTGTGTAGCACCTGTTTACAAGCATACAAAACATTCAACACCTAACTAGACCAATACTGATGTTCTTTTAATTTTGATTACACATCGAACGGGTTTCCAACCAAATCCCTGCCTCAAATAAATTGAGGTAAACTACACCGGGAGCTAACCGGGTAGGCAAATGTCACATGAAGTGACTGGACGTCCTGCGTATAAAAATAATAAAAAGGAAAATACAGCGTCCTGTACTCCCAGTAGAAGTTATGGTCAAATATAAAGTCGCATACTCCCCCCATATGTTCATACTCAAGGTATATATGCTCCAAGAGTTTTAGTGTGTAATCTCTTTCACTTTACATTGTTTACATATTATTATACTTGGTGATGACTCTCAAACCATAGCACAATCAAATATTGTAAATCATTCAAGCAATCAAACATACCAATTTAATTCTTGAATAACTAGTGACCACATAAATTTAATAGTTGAACCCTTTTTAATCTACCTCGGTGTTAAAATAACACCTTAAGTGCATAAGGCACCGCAAAATCTATCCCTCGGTGTTTAGAACACCTTAAGTGCTTATAAGCACCGCAATATAATTTATTCTGTGTACTAAGACACTTAAATAGCTCCTTCCTCATGCTTATAGCATCAATAAAAATTATATGAACCACAGTAAAATTCCCTTTTCATATTCCAACCTAAATTAAACATTTAGTTTAATTACACATGCTTTCTAACATGCTAATAATAAAAGTGTGGTTCACAATCAACATGCCAACATAATTAATTCCTATCACTAATTCATCACAAATAATTCATACATCACAATTCAATCACCAACATCAATCCAAATCAACAATTCCAACCAACACTTATCATGATACTACTTGGAATTAATTAAACTAAGCCTAACATGCTTCTACACACTTTAACCATTACCAAGTACGCGAACGTACCTTAAGTCATCTTTCCATCTAGCCACAATGCTAGAAATTACTCAATTTAAAGTCTCCTACAATACCAAAATTATAAAGAAGTATTAATACCTCTTTCACACAAATTTCTAGCAATATATACTCTCTTTAAATCACTCATAAACCCTCTAAAATAATCTGAAATTTTATTTAAAACCTTACTTTTATTCCCAATAATGGTAATTACAAATCTTTTCAAGAAACCTAATTATAGCCTATATATAAAAATTCCAGCATGATTAAAACTTATAAAATTGCTGTAATTTAGTTTAAAAACATTCACTTCAATAGTTTTAATTAACCACAATCAAATTCCATCAATAGACATTAATTTAGAAACTAGGGTTTTCAATTTGGGGCATTTTAATTTAAAATTAAATCTGAAAATTGTATTAGAACATTAAACCTTCGTTAAAAATCAAAAACTGCCTTAAAACCATATTTAGAGGCTGAATTTGGACACGAGAGGGTGGTGTTCATTACCAAAGGTAGTGAGTTTTGATTAAAACGTTGTTTACATACGAAAAACACTATTTTTTTTTTATAAAAATCGGACGAGTTAGAATCTAAACGTGATTAAAACGTTAAAATTAAAAATAAAGGGGAAGGGAAAATTAAGGAGAAAAGAAAATAAGAGAAGAGAGAGAATTTACCTTTGGGTGCACTCCACCTTAGGCATATGATGGGTATTTATACCCTCTCTCATAACCTCCTACTTACTACCCTTAATAATCACTTTCCTACTCAAACTAGGATTCCTAATCAAACTAGGATTTTGACTTTCCTTAAAACTTTGATTTTTAAAAATTATCTTTTTATAAAATAATATGCCCCAATATTTTTAAATCATAAAATAAATATTTTCAAGATTATTAAATAATTAAAAATACACTTTTAATAAAAATCATTCTTTATAAATTAATGAAAAACCCTAAATAATTCATTTCAAATTATTTAAATACTTTTAAGAAATACTTATTTAAATTAAAATACGTATAAAAATACGGGGTATTACATGCTACAACTGAGGCGGATTATAATGTTGCTGTAGATACAATGAAAGCTAGGTGGGCAAGTTATCCGGCAATGATTACTTACGTTGAGAGAACATGGCTTTGTCATTAAATCAAATATGTGACATTTTGGACGAACCAAGTTCTTCACTTTGGTAACACGAGTAATTGTAGAGTTGAGAGCCAACATTCGGCAGTGAAGACGTGGTTTGAATCATCGACAGGTTCGTTGTTATAATGTTGTAGTTGTTATCTTTACTTCATTTTAGTAATTTTTAATTAAAAATCATAATGTTTTTTTTATAATCTGAATCAACGAGAGGTTCTTTGGATACCGTATGGGCCCGAGTACATTGTCATATTGGTAATCAGATCATTGCAATTCTTAATGGTTTGGAGGCATCAAGATCGAAATTTGGTGAGAAGTACAGACAATTGCCACTGTCACGTATAAATGGCAAAGTGTCTCAACATTGTTTGAAAATTCTCGATGATGAGACGAGAAGGATGAGGGAGTTGAGTTACCTGGTGTATGAGCGTTGTGGATGTGCAATGCGTGTGACCCATGGTTTACCATGTGCTTGCCATATACATGATTTGCTAGTTGCACAGTCAGGCTTGTATATCAGGCAAATCCATCCATTCTGGAAGACCTTGGTTATTGGTGATGGTGTTGATATACCTGTGTTCGTTAACGATTCAACCGAGGAAGCTGCACATTTTCGTTCCTTGGTTGATGAGGTCATTGGTAGTGATCCTGCTATACTTCGAAATGTATCTCGCATCATTGAAGAGGAGCTGCATCCGGATCATACAAACCTTAAGAACCACATGTAAACCACAATGTTCGAGGTCAACGAAGGAACAATGATACCAGGCATGATCCTTGTTATTTCGAACATGTAAACCGTCGAAACACTCAACGTGGTACACAACAAACAGGTACGACCTCAGGTATGTCATGAAATTACACGTATTTGCACTTGTGAATTACACGCCTATTGTGAATTACACGTATTTCATCTTGTAGCGTACTAATAAATGACCATTAATTTTGTGCAGAAGATCAATGTGACATCACTCAATGCAGGTATTTGCATTTGCTTCCAGGACCGATGTTGCCTTACATCACGGCATGGAAGGATGTCATTGGTGATGGAAACTGTGACTTTCGTTGTGTGGCTGACTTCTTCTTTGGTTATCAAGCGTAATGGTTTACCGCTCGGGAAACAATAGCAAACGAGGTCGCCGCTCATCCAATGTTGTACGAAAGGATTTACATGGATTGGAAGGGTTTGGATGAATGTAGAACGTATTCGATGGGATGGTGGGGCAATTTATATGCGGCATTGGATGGTAGCAATTCAAGACTTATTTCCTATTGCTACTTGGTTCAACGCAAGGGTAATTTGTCTCGGTATAGGCAGCGTACCAACCTGCTACTACCTATGCATCACGGTGTTACCGTTGCGTGCACGAAGCACGGTCATGGCACCCCGCTCGAGAGTTCGTGATCGCTACAGTTGGTAGGTCACATTTCATCTGTCTTGATCTTGCACAAGATTCACCTCTTCCCCCAATTGCAGGTTGGTGGACCGAGCACCACGAGCCAAGTGTTAATGGATAGGATCAGCAATATGAAGTTAGAAGGAACATGTGGGATGCATTAATTAGGTAGTGAACTTACTTATATACTTTCACTAAAGTTGAACAGTTGTAGCTATGTAATATACATTAATAAAAGTAATTAAACTAAGTTCCAACAAAACCAAATATAAAAGTGTTCAGTTCTTACATTACATGCCGAATACAAAGTAATATAAAATAATGAAGACAAGTAATAAAAATTCAACCACTAATACGCATAAAGAGTAATCTACAACCCCATCATCGCCTTCCAGTCAACTATCAGCTGCTCAGTCAATGCCCTTAATTCACGCGACATGTTGGGATACTCATCCATTGCTCTTTGGTGAATCTTCATAGACCACCCCCAGGAGATACACGAGGGTGAGAAAATCTATACAGCGACTGCATGTAACTAGGAGCGACCGTAGGAGCTCGATGACCAAGTCTGGTGTGGGTACCTAAAACTACACTGAAAGACGAACTAGGGACAAACCTAGTCCACATCACAGATGTCATCTCGGTCGGAAATTCTACCCGATACATCTTCAAGTTGGTCGGTCTCTTAACCTTCTCAGGCCTGATAATGCTCCTTGAATGTCCTGCACGAATCCAAGTTGTTGAACCACTCGATCAGGCATGTACGACTCAATGATGCTATGGTACTGGATGCAGCCAATAAATAAAGTGGGTGGCACGTGCCGTGCAGGATCAACTCCGTACGGGAGCCAGTTAACCTCACGGTCGGTCAGCTCATCGAGTCTAGCACGAAAAGCTAAGAGACGCTCCATGCTCTTGTTTGGGCATCCCGATCCAACATCCCAAGCAGACGCACGAGGGATATCAAGCTCCCTCGTCAAGGTACCCTGCTGAGGCTGAAAGCACGGAAAGTACTCGTAAATCAAGTGGAGCAGAAGCGTGAGACAACCAGCGATCGAATTAGCATCTTTTCGTGATGTCGTACCCAACTGCCGATACAGGTAGGCTAGAGTAGCTGAACCCCAAGAGTACTCATTAATTGTAACACCTTCAACAACAAGCTCGTGGAGGAAGGAAGGATGAGTGCAGTTACCACTCTTGTATAAAAACAGTGAGCCTCCTAGTACTAACCACATGTATGCAGCATAATGGACACTAAAGGGCCTCTGCGTCCCGTATGGCGTCCGTGCTAGGGGTAGTGGAAACCATGGAACCATCAACACGAAGCCCAAGAATATGGTACACATCGTGCAACATGATCATGATCTCCCCAAATGGCATATGAAATGTGTTCGTATTTGGCTGCCATCTCTTAACAAAAGCATAAATCAAAGACCAGTCGAGACGCTTAAACATAATTCCAGGTAAGTGAGACAGACCACTGCCATCAATCAATTCGAGGTGCTCCTGTGCAAGACGACCTCGCCAATTAACCAATTCAGAACATAATTGTGTCCTACTCAAACAGCGCCAAACATTTCGCTCCTTCCCGCCCCATATATATGACGCCATGTGACCACCAAAACTAGGGATAATAGTCCCATCCTCAGGACCACCTGGCATCGGCTGCTGCACTAACTATGTCTCTGCTGAGCTGGTAGTAGGTTAACTCGCTTGACTGCTCTTAAATCTCCCATGCTGACCCCTATATACCGTATGATAAGCCTGAGGGTCGACTCTTCGTCTCGATCATCATGACTTTCCCGCTCTTCGTCCTCATCGTCAGATGTACGCAGTCCACCCGACGAGTACATGGAACGGCTCCCTTGTGACTGATGCTCTCCCGACCAACTACTAGGAGACCCATATTGCTGCTCATAACGAAGCGATGCCCCCGTAATTACTGAACGACATGATTCCCTCCTAACATACGTATTCAAACGTCGTGATATTGCATGACGAGCACCCGAACCCTCAACCTACATTAAATAAGTACAAAATCAAATATCAGCAATAATTACAAATATAACTATTTGATTAAAGTTGAACAACAAATATTAATATTCAAAAATAATAATTTCAGAACAACACCATCACCAACAACATTATTATTATTATTATTAATATTAATAATAATAATAATAATAATAATAATAATAATAAAGTTTGTATCATATCATTAGTAAACTTTAATTAAAGTTCGTATCATATCATCAGTAAACTTTAATTATTTGTTCAACCACCAATGTTGTGTAATTTGGTACGGAGTAGAATGAATGATAAATACTTAGAATAAGTAACGATCGATGATAATGGAAACATCTAAATCTATAGGTAAATTTGTGAAAAAAAGAAAAATACAAGTATTATCTTAGGTCAATATATATCTATGTTAATGCAAGTTCATTATTAATTTCATGAATGCATGACTTGTACGAAGTACTTATATTGTCATGTTATCATAAACACTTGTCAATCAGTCATATTGATCATTTTTTTTCCTTCATATAACTAGGTAGTGATCATGGGTGAAGCCATTAAATCGAAATAGGTTTAAATAGAATGTTTGTGTATTATATGGCAAAAAGTAAAGCTGTAGCCCAGTGGTTATTTTTACCTCCCATCACACAAGAGTTTGTGGGTTCAAAACCCGTAACTCACACTTTTTTTTTTATCTTGTTTCCTAAGCTTACCTTCCCAGCTTTCCTCTTCCTCATTCCCCCAAATTGCAAAACCCTAACTTCTTCCTCCTTCTCTTCCCGGCGCAGCAGAACACGGCGACACGGCGCAGCAGCCAGCAGACCCACCATCACAGCCTGACAGCCGTGTATGTAGGTAAGTGAATTTGGGGATATTTTGTTTGCAAATGTAATTTACTTCTCAATTTGGGGATTTTTTTTTGCTAAATCGTTGAATACCTGAAATTCATATGCTAATATACATTACGAATTGGGGATTTTTTGTAAATTGCTGAACTTTGGTTATAATTTGCTAATTTACTTCTCAAGTTCTCAATTTGGGGATTTTTAATTTTGTTACATTGTAGAATTTCATATGCTATTTCCGTATTTCGTTTTCTGCCTTCTGGTTTTCATAATTTCATATGCTATTTCGTTTTCTGCCTTCTGGATTTCGTTTACTAATTGACTGTAATCTTTAATTACGATAGTTTTAATTAGCCTTTTGGATTTATCATTCAGTCATTGATTTACAACTCCAAGAGCTCAATAGTAGATTTGATGAAGAAAATATGGAGTTACTTATTTGTGTGTCATGCTTAAACCCGCTCAATTTATTTGCGGCATTTGATATGCAAAAGTTGTTGAGACTTGCCGAGTTATATTCCAAAGAGTTTCCAACTAATGATATGACGATGACTGCACTTCGTCATGAGCTTCAATTTTATATTAATGATGTGCGCCAAGATGCAAGGTTTGGAGACTTGAAGGGTATTCATGAGCTTTCTATGATGCTTGAAACAAATAAGCATACTACTTACAACTTAGTTTACTTGCTTATAAGACTAGCATTGATCCTTCCGGTTGCAACTACAAGCGTGGAACGAGTGTTTTCATCAATGACATACGTAAAAAATAAGTTGCGAAATAGTATGGGTGATCAACTATTGAATGATAATTTAGTCACTTTTCTTGAGAGAGATTTATTTTCAAGAGTTAGTGATGATGATGTATTGGAACGCTTCCAAAGTATGAAGACTCGAATAATGCTTCTGTAGTCCTTTTTTTTTTTCTTTTCATTTTTCTATGTGTAATCTATTTGTAATCCATAGTTTGAACTTATTTATGTACTGAATATTTAATTATTATATTTTTATTCTTTTGTTAATTACGATTTCAAATTTCCGAAGTTTCGAACCCACACTTCGAAAATTCTGGTAACGCCACTGGTAGTGATCACGAGACATATTGACCGTATTTAATGACATGCAAAGACATTATCGACCGCTGGTAAAAGGGACATGTTATAAGTCATGAAACACGTTGATTAATATACAAATACGAATAAACATTAAAGCTATCGCAATTATTAGCATGATTACATTTTGAGTATATATTTATGTTTGTGGGGCCTGATTTGCATGATACATAGACGTACTAACGCCAAGAGGAAGCACAGTAACGCCAAGAGCTTAAATAATTCTTAGAAAATCTAAATTAGTTGCTTTGATATCATATTATGTCAAAAGTAGTTAATTACTAGATTATTATATTATGATGTTACGTTAATCTATGAGAGTGAAGACTATAGATCTATTCTCATAACTTTATTAGGTTAGATGACTATGATCACATCATTCACATGCTTGTGCGATCGATTGTCTTATGTGTTATGCCTACAACGGCTACAACTCTATAACAATTTTTAATCAATTTTATTGAACTTAAATCTTGCACTTGCGTATATTAAATTAAGATAATAATAGAAGGAAAATATAATTATATAGAGAATAAAGAATTGGTAAAACTAGAGGAAAAAAAAAATACTATCTTTATTTAATTTTTATGTGAGACGACATAAAAAATCATTTGTTGAAAATAAAAAGAAACGGAAATAATACCAGTTTCACTCCTAAGATTAAGTTAATTAAAAATATTAAAAAAAAGTACTATTAGCTTGTTTGACTTTTTTTTTGCTTCTTTTTTCTTGGACATCAATATCAATTTGTTAAATTAATTTCATGTTTGAGGATAATTCTGTCGAACGAGCTTTTATCAACATCATTGTTCTTTATAAAATTTAAAAATTAGAAAGAAATATAACTTCTATATATACATTGAAAATATTTAGAGAAATCACAGATAAGTATGTTTCATATAAAGTTAGTTCTTGTATTATAGTTGTATAAAATTGCTAATTAATATGCTGTAAAATTAAAACTTTATGTTGGGTTTAATTTTGTTTAGATGATGTTTTGTCTTTGGTTTTTTCTTTTGATTATGTCGGGTGATCTCATGTGTAGAGGAATGGGAATTGTGTTACCCATCATCTCACTAGATTAGTGTCGTTCGATGTCGAACAAGTATGGATGAAAAACCACTGTTCTAGTGAAATTTCCCCGTATATACTCATGGACAATTTGTCTTCTTCCATTAATGCACTAATCTACCTTTGTTTTTTTTTATTAAAAAAAAAAAAAAAAAAAAAAAAACTTTTATTAGTTGCACTTGCAGATTAACTTTAATTTTTCTTAAATTAAAAATATATATATATATATATATATATATATATATATATATATATATATATATATATATATATATATATATAATGTTGTTGATGGGCTGATCAACATGTATTAATTCTCGTTCAGATGGGAAATCAATTTAAGTTGTCCGAAACTCGTGGGGCCCACTTCTAAGCAAGTGAGTCAATTCATGCTAGGGATTTTTCAAGAACCATTCATGTCATAAACTACTTTTAATTCATTATTTCCGTGAACCAAATTCAATAAATTCATATATGGTAAATCTTTTCTCCGTGAACTGGTAGTAGTTCATCATGTGTGACCATGCTCTTAGCATTCTTTACCATTCGTTTGTTATACAGTAATTAATAAAATGGAGGAGAGACAACAATCGATAGAACATAGTAGTTCAAGGTAGCACTAGAGTGACCAGATTTATCATAAGTTCAATTGACAATTGGCAAATTAGGATACATAATACTCTGTACTGTAATAATAACACTAAGGGTCGGTTCATAAAATACGCTTAGAAAAAATGTTCCGATAAAATAAGATTGAGCTTTTTTTTTTTTTTTTTTTTTTTTTTTTTTTTTTTTTTTTGGTATTTCACCTGGTTTACCCTTTGGACTAATCCGGATTAAGAACAGTTATGGGTGGTTAAGTTCCAGTCCTCTTCCAATTATTGTTGCGTGGGATCAAACACACGGTCGTCCCTACTAAATACAGTCCCAATACTGCACAACAACCAATTGGAATAATTTTTTTTTTTTTTTTTTTTTTTTGGGTTAAAGGGGGTAATATATTAATTAGGTGCTAAAATAGCACTAGAAGAAGAAAACAAAACAGAGTCAACGAGGGTGGGGGGTTAAAATACTTAAGTCATTACAATTAAACATAAACATGTCTGAGATACAAGCTATAAAACTAGATTTAGTACAACGACCATCCACAAAAGGATCATATCGGCACCTAGGCCATTAGGTTAAAAAAAAAAAAATGAAATGTACTCATGATACTCTTTAGAAGAACTAATCATGTCAAGAATATGATAAACTATGTTTACATACTACTAATATAGTAGGTAATATGCATGTATGATAACTATTTTAGTAATCTAATAATAAAATTTGGAAATAGCATAGTATGTTACGAACAAAACAAAAAAAAAAAAAAATTTGTTCTATGTACAACGAATTTCGCATCATCTTCACTATTTAGTATGCCTTCCGTAGTGAGGTAAGAGGGTTGCAGATTTTTTTTTTTTTTTTTTTTGGCAGAACATGAAAGCAAGTTGTGTACTTATCTTTCAGCTTATATTTTTTAAATGAAAACTACTACGTATTTGTTCACTTTTTTAGCTTAGAGTGAAGGAATAAATGTATCCGGAGTAAATGCTTTACTCTTGTTTGTTACATAT